TCTGGAACTTTTCTTTGGAAAAAAAGAGAAACCTCCATAGCCCATAGCACATTCTTTGGAATCTTCCTGGGGTGACGGAGGGAAGGGGCTTTGTTTCTTGAAGGCAGATTTGATTTTTGGAAACAGCTAAAAGCTACTTGGCAGCAAGTGTGGTGAATGAGGTGGGTGATCAAACTGGATAATATTATTTTTGGTTCCAAACAAGGTGTGGCTATAAAGAAATGAGGCTGATTTTCTCGTATGGCACATAAACTAGCTCAACAGCAATTCCAAAAGAGGACTTCCAAAAATGCTGTGGCCTTGGCAAGAAAAAAATATTTCTCCACCCCAATATACACACACACACACACAGTGTATGGCATCTGACTCAATCCATAGACAAGGAAATCAAAAGCCCTTGGAACATATTTAAAAAACCAATTGTGCAAGTATGGGATGGAAGAGACCTGACTGGGCAGCCATTCTTGAATAGCTGCCATGGGCTCAGCTACTGGCCTGACAGGACAAGAGGACCACTGGCCCACTGGAGCCCAGCTCACGAAGTAGCTTGTCAACACTGTTCAATGTGTTTAGAAAAGCAGACAACCCAGAGGAGGCAAGAGTCAGTGACTGAAAATTATTGCAAAAAGGGAGCTGTGTGAAAACTAGTGCCATCTTAGTCTCTTTTTTTGTTTGTATAAATGTAAGGGGCACAAGTGTAGTTTTGATTCATGGATGTATCGCATAATGGTGAAGTCTAGGTTTTCAGTGTAACCATCACCCAAATAGTATACATTGTACCCATTAAGTAATTTCTTACCCCTTATTCCTTCCCATCCTCTCACCTTTCCCAGTCTCCAGTGTTTATTATTCCACTCTCAATGTTCATATGTACACGTTATTTAGCTCCCACTTATAAGTGAGGACATGCAGTATTTAACTTTCTATTTCTGAGTTGTTTTACTTAAGGGAATGGCCTCTAGTTCCATCAATATTGCTAAAAATATGGAACGCTTCACAAATTTGCATGTCATTCACGCGCAGGGGCCATGCTAATCTCTGTATGGTTCCGATTTTAGTATATGTGCTGCCCAAGCGAGCATGGCCATCTGAATCTCAGGATGCTCTTTATGGAAGAGCCAGACCATAGGAGGAAACAATAGGAAGGCAGATTTAGGCTCACCCTAATAAAGACTGATTCATATTATAGAACTGTATGTTCATGCATGTTCTGCACATGTATCCCAGGACTTAAAGTACTATATATATATATATATTTCTCAATAAAGCATTGGTTGTAAATACTGCAACAGTATGCAACTGCAAAAAAAAAAAAAAAGAATTGTCTGTTTAATACAATCTCATGTATGTGAATGTGCATATACAGAGAAGGGGTGAAAGAATGGAAAAATATAAATATTTTTCTTTTTCTTTTTTTCTTTTTCTTTTTTTTTTTTTTTTTGAGATGGAGTCTCACTCTGTCGCCCAGGGCTCACTGCAAGCTCCGCCTCCCAGGTTCACACCATTCTCCTGCCTCAGCCTCCTGAGTAGCTGGGACTACAGGCACCCAGCACCACACCTGGCTAATGTTTTTTGTATGGAAAAATATAAATATTTAATAGTAGATTTCTATGTGGTATGGAATTATGGGGCAAACATCATTTTCTAAACTTTACGTAATTATGTGTTGTTAGATTTTATTACTTGTATTTCATTTGTAATAACTCTTTTCCTTTAAGAAATGGATTTGCTAAAAATTCGAGGTATCCAACAACCAAACAGGCTACTTTGTGACCTAGTGAGAGCCCTGCCTTAGGAGGTAATCAAGCAAACATTGTGGGATGAACTATCAGGTCCCTTCCAGCCTAGGGACTCAGTATCTGTTATTTAAGGAATTAACCTTATTCAAGTACCAGAGTTGAGTTGATGGAAGTTCACTCATGCATCCAATGAGGAAGAGGCCTTCCAACACAATGGACAACTTCCCAGTTCCCAGGTCTCTTCTAAGAAAAAAATAGTCATCTTAACATAATTCAAGTGTAGAAAATTTAAATCAAAGGGTAGAATCAGGCCAGGTGCGGTGGCTCACACCTGTAATCCCAGCTTAATGCCAAAAGGATATGGTGGATTTTCCATGTTTTATACATGTCTATGGTTATCCCAGCACTTTGGGAGGCCAAGGCAGGTGGATCACTTGAGGTCAGGAGTTTGAAACCAGCCTGGGCAACATAGTGAAATCCCATCTTTACAAAAAAATAGAAAAATCAGCCAAGGCTAGTGATGTGTGCCTGTAGTCCCAGCTACTCGGGAGGCTGAGGCAGGAGAATCACTGGAACCCGGGAGGTGGAGGCTGCAGCGAGCCGAGACGGTGCCATCATACTCCAGCCTGGGTGACAGAGGGAGACTCTGTTTAAAAAAAAGGTAAAATGGTAGAATCAACACATCAAAGATGAAAAACCACTAACTAGCCATGAAACTTGATTCTGAAGTAGAACAATAAAAAAAAAAATACATAGAGAGGTAGGAAAAGACAGAGGCAAAAAGCTAGGAGAGACATGCCATTGATACATAGTTGATGCCAACAGGATATGGTGGATTTTCCATGTTTTAAACATGTGTGTGGTTATCCAGTTGAATCCCATCTACGTAGCTGAAGCCAGCAGGTCTTGGACCTGACAGGGGAGTTGTCTTCTGGTCCTCCTCAGGCTGGATGGTCCGTAGCTGCAGGCAGAGTACCAGGACAGCAGAAACACAGGCTGCCTGGGGTCATGTTCTGGAAACTGAAGCAAGTCAAATATGACCTTAGGCTGGAAAAGTTCTGAAAGGCACTGGAGGAACAGCACATTGATGCCACCAGCTGGGCAGAGGGACCGGCATTTACTGCCTTTTGGGTAGAATGGTGCCACAAAATCTGAGTAGCAAAAAGGTTAGAAATATTGTCCTCATTCTCCATTTGACAATAGGGAAACTGAGGTCTAGAGAGAGGAAGTGGATGAGAAGGGTGTGCGAAAACTGACAATCTCCTTTGCCTCCCAGAGAGGAGAAATGGACTTTAAGACAGTCCTCTCCTGCTTGCAGGAGCAAACCTTGGTCTCTGAGCCACAAATTATTTTTTGCCGCATCAAATATCAACATTTCCATGGAATAACAGGGACAGTTATTAGATGATAACTGGGCTTTAAATCCTTCTTCTGGGTTGGTGTTGCTATATTAGACTCTGAGTCCAAGCAGCAAACCTTTGTAATGTGTAGGTTTCATAAACCAAAGTCCAAAGTTTCTTACAAACCCCATTCAAATACACAATGATGGTTTAAATACAAAGACAACTGGCTTCTTTCTCTTTCAGGTCTTACCCACCATTACAAATCACTGAGATCACATTAACACATTCAACTGATTGTAGTCTTAGCTTCAATAAAACTAACCAAAGGAAACGTCAAACCAAACATTTCCAGTTTGCGTTTGTGAGCATTTCTGCAAAGGAAGAAAATGGATATTGGAAAATTGTGCTCTGCAGGAGACAGAAGTGTGTTGGTGACAGCAGGAGAGGGGGTGCAATAAGTTGTGAGAAATTACACATTCTGCTTCCCGCATGGTGACCTCCTGCCATGGGACTGAAATCGGAGATCCTGACTACGACCACCTCGTAGAATCAAAGGGGACTTCCCCATCCATTCCTTGACCTTTGCTCACACCCCTTCCGTGCATCTCACCCTCTCTTTCTTATATATATCAGGTGGGAGTTGAGTCCTCCCCCTTTAGAAAGAATCAACAATGTCTCTATTGACCTGACCTGGCAACAAGGCAATGTGCTAAGAATTATACACATTACAAAAATGGCAGGGTGGTTAGTCCTGGGATCCCTCAGCAGCAGAATGTCTGAGTATTACCTAAGTGCCATTATTATTGCAATGTTGTATGTGTAAAAAACAGACTTTTTTTTTTTTTTTTTTTTTTAAACAGAGTCTTGCTCTGTCATCCAGGCTGGAGTGCAATGGCGTGATCTCAGCTCACTGCAACCTCTGCGTCCCAGGTTCAAGCGATTCTGCCGCCTCAGCCTCCTGAGTAGCTGGGATTACAGGTACCCTCCACCACACCTGGATAATTTTTTTGTATTTTTAGTACAGACGGGGTTTTGCCATGTTGGCCAGGCGGGTCTCAAACTCCTGACCTCAAATGATCCACCCGCCTTAGCCTCCCAAAGAGTTCGGATTACAGGCGTGAGCCACCGCACCCTGCAAAAAACAGATTTTGAGTAGTAATACTGGGCCTATGGTTGATGAAAAGCCAGTGTTGTAACTACTACTGGTGTCAGACCTTCAGTTCCATGAGAGCAGGGCTCAATTCTGTTTGGTTTTCCACTGTCTCTAGCATCTGGTATAGTACCTGAAACCCAACAGGTATGCAAAACCTACTCATTGAATAAATGAATGTTGAAGAAGCTCACCTGCGGCCAAGAGTGACAGTTGCTCCCTATAAATCATGGGTTTGCTGATGACAACTTCTGCAACCTGAACCAAAGCAATGGCTGCCCATGCCATGTGGCAGCCCCTGTGGACAGAGGCAACACAGCAAGCCTGAGACAGCAGCAAAGAAGCTGGGGAGTGATTTCTTTGTACTGTTTGGGTTCACCTGTCTTGATTTGGGAGAAGGGAGAAGATGAATTGTACAACTGTACCTGATTTACATAGAGGATTCCTATTTGGGCAAAGCATTTTTGGCAAAGTAAAAGTTGTAAAGAGAGACTAGACCAGGTAACTCTTTTGAGATACCTTTGGTTTCATTGACAAGATACTCCAACCAAAGGTTTCGAAATGAAGATTGTGGATTGTGAGGGAGTGATTCTAATTGGTTCTTGGAGTCAGGATTGATTTCCACCCAGAAGGCAGGCAGGGAGGTGGGTTTCAAGGACCCTGTCGGGGCCTGATAAGAATATATTGGATGGAAAGTTTAGTGAGAAGGAAAAAAAGCATTGCACAGTCACCATAGATGACGGTTTGCAAAAAAAAAGAGCCAATACATTTTTATTTGAGCAATTTATTTTATTTTTCAAAGAAATCCATGCAAAGAGAGAGAGAAAGAAAGATAGAAAGGGAGGGAGTAAGACAGAGAGAAAGACATGGTAACCATGTTCTAGCAGCCAAACAGGAAAATAATTTGGCACAACTTGATGGTTTTCTTTTCTTTGCAAAAGGACAATCTATATACTACCACTAAAATTTATCTTCCTCCAAAAGATACCATTTGATTTTCAAAAACATAACACGTGGTTAGTCTTCTACTTAATGGCTGGAGGAGGTATACAGGATAAAAAAAAAAAAAGAAAAAAATAAGAAAGTGGTTCCCTTTATCGAGGAAGACCACAGGGTGCTGTAGGGCAGCACATGTGCTGGGCACCAGGCAGTCAGTGCACCAGGAAGAAGAAGCACACCACTGAGATGGCCATGCTGGTGAGAAGCTTCAGTGGGGAATGAACGTTCCCGAGGTTGTGAAAGGTGCTTATCTCATTGTCCTTCGGAGTTGCCTGCTGATTGTTTCCAGGCGCATCATCCACATCCAGATCATAGGCCAGTTCTGTCAATCAAAAGAGAAGGATTTGAAATGCAAGTCTACCCATAGCCTCAGTATAACACTATCCACAGCTCGAGCATGTGTCTGGACTGCTGGAAAGCCACAGCTTTGATTTCCTTTTTTAGGGGGGAGAAAAAGGCCACTGTGAGATGGGAAAAAGAAGGGTATGTGAGGGTGGGGGGCGGGGAGAGGGGAGGCAGTAGAAGGAGCCAGCCAGAAGTGCTCCTTCCAGAGATCATAGCAAGCGGGAGTGTGGAGTGAACAGGCTGCACCCCATTGCCCTTTGGCTGCATACACATTGTAGGGTGCGCGCTAGCCCTTTGCAACATCTCCTCCCAGGCAAGGTTTTGCTTGAAGGGCATTTTCAGCAGATCTTATGGTTATCAAAACATAAGATGCCATGTGGGTGACTATACCCTGTGGTGTGTTCTTGTGTGTATGTGTGCTGGTGGGGAGGGGGTGCTGTGGGTTCCCAGTGTACCTTTCTTAGGCCCTGCACCTTATATACATTTCCTTGTCCTGGGAGCTTTCCTTTAATTAGGGTTGAGAATAGGTAGTTTCCTGTTGAAAGTTGTTTTATTTTCCCAAATAATTCTCCTTTTATCTATAAGGTCTTTTCATTTCCCCCTAGAAACAATCCTCGCAAAAAAGCAAAATTGACCAAAGCATAGATTTAAACTGATACCAAGTGAATGGGAGTAAGGAGAGGCTAATGGGCAAGGGCCTTTCATTCTTGGACTGCCTAGCATTTATGATATATGTTCATGATTCTGAAAAAAAAATCACGGTGTTATTTAGCTTGTCCTAAAGCAAAGGTGGCCCCAGAAGGCAAATCTAAGGAAGACAGTGGTTTATCAAGAAATTCAAGATGGCTGACCCTGTCCCAGGGCTCAATATGTTTCAGATTTGCTTTTCCAGATTTAGAGATCAAATCTACTCTCTTGGCGATTCTAGACTCCACTGTCAATGTTGCTATTTCAATATCCTGTGAAGGTGATATGATGTGAGCAACTTCACCAGCCAACTGTCTGGTAGCCAAGGGAGCTGGAAAGATCCTTTGGGACACTGAGATGCCCAACAACAGGCACAGAGGAAATGACTGGGATTCTACAGAGGGAAGGAAGGAAGAGGAAGGAAGAGCTTCTCTTACAGGGGATGAAACACTCAATAAGTCACAGGAAAAAAGTGTGGGGACTCAGCTGGTCCAGTATAGAGCAGGGTCCAGGACCAGGGCTCCGCTAAGGCTGGCACTGGTTGGGGCAGGCAGCAAGGTCAAAGTGATCAAAGCCAGGGAGTCTAATTTCACAGACTAAGATGCCAATTTCCAAAAGGTCTATTGCAATCTATACTGCCACCAGCAATGATGAGAGAACCAATTTACAGCACCTCCATTGAAAAAAGATAATTTTTGTTAATGTAAGGCGACATCTCAACGTTTCTTTATTTTGCAGGGATTTGATTACTAGTGCAGATAAACTTTTTCTATGTTTTAGTTTACTAATTATATTTCTCAACGCGTAGTAGTTTATACCTTTTGCCTTTTTATCTAGTGGGTATTGATATTTTTCCTGTTCATTTTAATAATATATATTTTGTTGAACTTTTGCCTACATTTTATACAAATATTTTCTCCATTTTGTTATTAACTATTTTCATGGCTGTAGAAAGAAATAATGTCCTAATGTTTAAGATATATGAATCTGGTTACATTTTACTCCTTTAAAAGCAGAGAGCTTTTCTTCCTGAGTACTCATAATAATTCAAATCAAATTTTCCAGGAAACCCTCTTACCCAGGGAAAAGCAACAGAGCAGACTATAATCTAGATTCCCTCCCTTCCAAAATAAATACGTACAAACAAAATAAAAGAGAAAAAGAACAAAGAGCAATGCTCTACTTGGAAATCAGACCTCTTTCTTTGAAAGGTGAACTATGCAGGGTGCACAGAGAAGGCCGAGGTCAGCTGTCAGTCGGCAAGGATAGCACAGGCTTAGGTCACGATCAGGTTTCACCAAAGTGGAGAGCACATATGGCTAGATCTGTTGAAAGCCCAGCCTTGGTTCTCACAGCAACTTCTCAACTTAAATGAAGAGGAGTATTTTTAGGGTTGACCTGAATGAGAGCACTCTCAGCATTACTTTCAGATTCCTTTTCTGGATAGTGCCCCTTGCCCGACATCAAGATGAAATAATATCTATTAATGCCACTGCTCAGCTCCTGCACTGTTTCTTTTTTCAAATCATCTGCTAACTTTCAACAGTTTTGTTTACTGTAGTAGTTATGGCAAACCCAGAAGTTTTGTTAAATCCAGTTGTTTCTAATTTTTTTTTTTTGGCCAGTAAAGACCTCTTCTGATTTTGTTTGTTTTTTTGTTTTGTTTTGTTTTGTTTTGAGACAGGGTCTTTCTGTGTCGCCCAGGCTGCAGTATAGTGGTGCGATCATGGCTCAATGCAGCCTCGATTTCCAGGGCTCAAGCAATCCTCCCACATTGGCCTCCCAAGTAGCTGGGGCCACAGGCATGTGCCACCCTGTTTGGCTATTATTTGTATTTGTATTTTTTTTTTTTTTCTAGAGACAGGGTTTTTGCCATGTTGCCCAGGCTGGTCTCAAACTCCTGAGCTCAAGTGATCTGACTGCCTCAGCCTCCCAAAATGCTGGAATTACAGGCATGAGCCACCGCGCCTGGTCTTCTTTTGTTATTTCTATCTCTTCAGCCCTGTATTTTGAAATTATAGTAATGATGCCCAATTACTGAGTGCTCACTGTAGGCCAGGCACTGTGTTAAACTATTTCTGTACATTATTTCATTTAATTTAACCATCTCCACGATGTTATAAGGTAGGTATTATAATTCCCATTTTACTGGAGAGGAAGCTCAAGCTCAGATGAATTATTTTACCCATATTTACACAACTGGTATGGAGTAAAGGAGCTATTTGAGTCCAGGTCTGACTCTAAACCTCAAATGAAGCTATACTGCCTCTTGAAAAATTCTATATACCAAAGAAACTACAGTGATTAAGTAGTAATGGATTCTTCTTGAAAATAAACTCCATTGGTGAAATACACAGTGCCAAAGAGAACTTCCAAAAAGCATGAGAGCAAAGTCACTGTTTGCACATAAAATTGAAGACATACTTGATTAAGTAGCCTTGTTAAACTTTTTGAAATCCTGAAAAGAGCTCTGGGTTGGGAATGGGAGTTATCATATCAGTTCTATTTCCCTGAAGAAAACAACAATGATGGCCAAAGTCATTAGATACCCCAACCACAAAGGTGGCCAAGTATTCTACCTCTAAAAGGCCCCCAGGAATATTCAGAATGCTATCTCCCTGTGTTCCCTAAGCTGTGGCTGCAGGTTTCCTGAGGCGCTTCATTCAGCAGTAGCAAAAGTTTATCACCCAATTCCATAGCCAGGTACCTGTGGCTTATAACTGATGGGAATCCCAATAAAGCCACTGTATGCTTGGGCCACCATCATGAAAATTAGAGATAAAGGGAATAGCTCAGCATAGTAAGGAAGCATTATGGAGACAGAGGAAATAGGATTTTTGGTGAAAGATAAATACAGACATTTCTGGACAGGGGAAATGTAATCCAATTTAATTCAACAAACAAAACTAGCCTATGATGTCTCAAGCATCACAGTAGAGGGTTAGAGAAAGACTTACTGTCTGCCTTCATGAGCCCCCTCACTGGCAAGGGAAATTGATCAAGAGACAATCCAACTAGCTACATGGCAGAAAGTAGAAAGGGCTCAGTTAAAGGCACAAGCAAAACATCTTGGGGATAAAAGAGAAAGAGATAAAAATTTCAAATAGACAGATCTTGGAAGGCTTCTTAAAACAATTGGGATATCCCACTACTGGGTATCTACCCAAAGGAAAAGAAGTCATTCTATGAAAAAGACACATGAACAAGCATGGTTACAGCAGCTCAATTTGCCATTGCAAAGATATGGATCCAGCCTAAGTGCCCATCAACCAACAAGTGGATAAAGAACATGTGGTATATATACACCATGTAACACTACTCAGCAATAAAAAGGAATGAAATAATGTCTTTTGCAGCAACTCGGATGGAGCCGGAGGCCATTATTCTAAGGGAAGTAACTCAGAAATGGAAAACCAAATATTGTATGTTTTCACTTATAAGTGGGAGCTAAGCTATGAGGACGCAAAGGCATAAGAATGATATAACAGACACTGGGGACTCGGGGGAAAGAGCGGGAGTGGGGTGAGGGATAAAAGACTACATATTGGATACAGTATACACTGCTCGGATGATGGGTGCACTAAAATCTGAAAATTCACCACTAAAGAATTCATCTATGTAACCAAACAATACCTGTACCCCAAAAACTATTGAAATAAAAATAAAAAATAAAATTAAGAATCATTGGGACATAAACTACACCATGAAGGATGGACAGAATTATGGGCTGAATGAATGGTTATTCCAGGCAGAGGGTGCAGCCTGACCCAAATCACCAAGCTCAGAGAATGTCTGTGAGGCATATTCAGAAGCAGCAAATAGACCCCATGGTAGGAGGAGCCACAGAATGTATATTGTTGTGGGGGGGGTGTGTGTGTGTGTGTGTGTGTGTGTATTGTGGGGGAAGAGGTGGTGGCGATGAAAGGTAAGGCGGAGGGACAAGTAAGAGCCAAATTACGGTGGATTAGGAAAGCTAAAACTATTCTGTGAGCAACAGGGAGCCACTGAAGGTTTTGAAGTAAGCAAACAACACAATCTGATTTGTGTTTTTTAGAAAGATCATTGTTAACACTGTGGAAGACAGCTCTAAGAGGGAGAGACTTGTCAGACATCTTGTGTTGAAATAAATAAGAAGCCTGTGGGAATAGTATCTGGGGATCAGCCAGTAGCAAAGTTAAAAACAAACAAACAAACAAACAAACAAACAAAAAAACCTTACAAAGTGGCTAAATCTACACCAAACCAGAAACTTCTCAGTTTGCTACAAACCAGATGTATTATGAGAATCAC